GGGTGGGATAAAGCAGTAGGGCAAAAATTTTGGGTGGGGGAGGAGGCCGTCTGTCGGTCCTTTTCAGGACTAGGAGGAGGACAGTGGTCCAATTCTCAGAATTTTGCTGTGGGGGGGGGGGGGGGAGGGGGTACCCCGAGAAAACCCACTTTCACTGGTCAGGCGACGAATAATCTACCTGACCAGTGCCCAAAGCTGAAAAAGAAATTTCTTTCAGTTACTTGGTGAGTGTTTTACGCTCCGTTGTTTTCAACCACTTGAGTATTTATTATATATATACACATTTTACCGGCCCCATGTGGAAAATCAACTTTTGGTTTTGACATGATCATTTTTCTTGGTCTATTTTCAAACCCCATACAAATATTACATATTCACTATAAATCTCTAATCTATAACTAACTATCAAATACTTTTTTTTGCATGTTCGATCTTCCGTGTTTTGTTACTGCCAGTTACAATTTTGATCCTTAATAGAACCAACACCTTTCTGCTATACAATTCCCGTTTAAGCAAGTTGTATAACACTGTTATTCTAAGAATTAATTTTTGACGTTGTTTATACTGTGTTTACTGAAGTTTATGTTATTGTAGGCTTTTTGCTTTGATGCTTAATTTGTACTAAAAACTAAAAATTCAACTTGCATTCATTTCAGGTCATACTTGCACATAAATAGCTTATTCATAAAGTTATTACTTTTATCTGTATTTGTAAAATAACCTCCCAGTTTTTAATCTTGCAGGGTTCCACCAAAAACATTACAGACAATACACCCGTATTTTTGACCGTTCATGACATGGGAAGCAATCGTAAGTAACTGTAGCAAGCTTTTTGTTTCTTATCTATTTTACAGTCAGATGTACATACTTCTGGAAAGGTTCATTGAAAGTTATAAACTTTTTAAATGATAATTTTGTTTACTTTTGAGGTTACACACTGTTACATAAAAACAAAAATTGTATTTATCAAACTTAAGAAATACTATTGTTACGCTACAAGAACAGACTATGGTTATCTCATGTTTAGTTGAGATAAATGTAAGTACTTGTCAGTTTAAGCTAAAATACTTAAATCTAAACCATTATTTAACAAAACTTTGTGTTTGTATATGTATGTCCACTTATCACTGGCAAACTTTTGGACTGATTGACATCAAACCTGGCATGTACCCTCCTGGAGAATGATATAACATGGGAAGATGAATTTGGTTCTGGCCCCATGTTTCACCTTCTAGGAAGGCCTCTATGTCTTTCCTGTGCAGTGTTGAAGAAGTACCTCATTTGGTATACTTTAAAATAATATTTGATTGTTTGTAAATATTCTTAATTTTTAGATTCCTGTTCAAAAATAAGCTCTATAGAGCAATTAAGATATAAAAAAAAGTCTGTGCCTTATAAAATTTATAATGAGAATAAAACGATAATAAGTGAAAAGTAACTGTTCAACTAGAAATGGAAGAATAAAACAAATTGGAAAACATACAGAATATTGTAAAAAATCATATTTCAAAAACAGATAAGGATAGAAATTTTGAGGAAAATGGGTATAAAAGGTAACTGCTACAGGAATGCCACTCTTGTATCATGTGAAAATGAAATACACCAGAGTACTGTCAGGTGTTGATAGTTTACACTGTTTCATTGCCATTCAACCAGTCAGAGTTTCATACCAAGATAAAGCCTATGTAGTTAGGGTAGGTCAAACTTATAGGGTGAAATTTTTTTTGTGCAGAATCAAAATGGCCAAGGAAGGAACTATTTTCTAGTAACTAAAATCTGTTTTGGTGAAATTGTCCCCCTAGAATTATGTCTTGAGGGTCCACAGTGACCTTGAAAGTTACATGTACATGAGTATGGGGTATGTTACATAATACACGAGTAAAAATGCAGTTATATTGTGATTAAAACATATTGGTTTTCAAAATCACCTAGAACTCTCCACGGAGAGGTGACTGCATAGTGATTTCCACCCAGCCTTGCCCAAACACCTAACCATTAGGGGCCATACTAGGTCATTCCTTGTCTGTACTGTAATCACATTTTGAGTCAAATATTTGAATCACATTTCTTAATTTGATTCTTGTGTGGATAAATTCACCTCACTGTTTCTGACTGTAAACAGCTGCTGATGCCTCAGTCACAAGTTTGACACACCTATCAGCAGCTTGTACATGGCAGGGAAATTTTGGAAACTGAACTTTTGGAGTTTCTGGGTGAGCAATAAAACGTCTCGGGATATTTCGTGAATGTTTCTAGTCATTGAAGGTTTGCATTTGTGCTCTGAATCCCAAGTGATGAGATTGATGTAATAAACTGCATCGAAATTCAGTTTAGGAACCCTAAGTTTCTGCAGATCCTTAGAGGGTTCCAGTCTTGCTGCCATGACCTTCCTTAGCCAAAATTCCTGAATATGACATCTTTTATCTATCAACATGGCTAAAGGTACATTTTCATGATGTACAAAGTAGGCATTCTGTTCAATGTCAGGTTCAATAATTGTTTTTATTTTACCATTGGGAGCTTTTGACCAGGCTACTTCTGTGCAAGATGACTGGTACTTGACTGTATATCAAACTGGAGCACATACTTGAACAACATAAATTGCAAATGTTATTAAGTTTTCTAATGGGTTTGCAATTGAAACATAGAGCTGAAGAATTCTGTTTGCAGTTGTTATCCACTGTGAATGACAAATAGACCCTATTTTCTTTGCTGCAAGGGCATCTGACCAGTTCCCTGATATAATTGTTTGTGTTATTTCATATAAATATTTCTGATCAGTGATCAAATTATGGAAATCAACTTTTGACAAAGTAGGAACTGTGATAGTCTGGGATCAAAAACCTCAAGGATGTGTAATGCTATCAAAGCCTCCCCTGTTGGCCCTGAGCTAAAAGCTGCAGTTGCACCATCTAGTTTCTCAAGTAAATGATGGAGAGGAAATTTGTTCATGTGTAGAAGACATATCAACCATCAGAGTGGTTTCTTTAGATTAATATCAAGGTGCTGAATTGTTCTACTGTTTGAACCTTTACTTATATTTGTTCCATCACATCCTGCTGCCAATAAATTACCAAGCTGAACATCATTAAATGTGAAAAAGTAAATTATACTCATCTGCAGGGCTTCTGCAATTGATGCAGGAGATGCAATGTGACTAATATACATAGATTTAGGTTCTTCAATAAATACTACATGTTCTTCCATGGATGTTGACAGATGATACTTTCCTTCCATTTTTATTGGACTTGATATCTGTCTCACCTTCCATCAAATTATAAAGTAAGCTTGTTTGACCTTGGCCTTTGACAATCTACTCTTAAAATCTTAAAATTTTTCTTCCTACTGTGTGAAAGTTTTCAATGCCATTGTGGATTCTTAAGATATTAAGCCACAGCTCCTAACTTTTTACAATATAAGGTTCTTTCAAAGGGGCAACTTTTCCTACCCTGGCCACTTCAAAATTCAGACTCTAAATTTTTTTATCCATCCTACTACATAATGCTAGCAGTCATATTATGCTTATTAACAGTAATGCAGACCTGTTTGCTGCTCCCAAGACTGACATACTGCATGGTAAACATGTAGGAATAAATGTTTTGATTGGTTGAAAATACTCGATTTGAGAAATAGCAGCAAGATTCCAATGCTCAGTAGGATCTCTATATAAGATTCTGAGGAAGGAACATGAAACTGGTACTATTAATAATAGAATTGGTTGAAGGTGAAACTCTCAAAAAGTGATGTTAAGTATCTTAGATGACAGTTGAGAACAGATTTTGCCAGTGACCTTGCTGTAAAAAGAACAGTTACATGCACATCAGCACATTGGGACATAGCTGCTTGAAAACCACTGTTGAGAAGAAGTAACCAAACATAAAGGTTGAAATGAACAGTTGAATAAACAAATATTGAGACATGTATTTTTTACAGTTGAATCTAACTTTGAATTGTTCAGCAACAATTTTTTTCAACAGTAGAGAGTAGAACAGTATCACAGTAAATGTGCAAAATATAAATGGAACATGGTGGAGGGGGGGGGGCAACACAAGTATGGAGCTGCATCTCAGCCAACAATGTCTGTGATGTACACAAAATTGATGGCACTGTGACTGAGGAAGTGTACATTAAGTTTCTGATCTATTATTCCATTCCCTCAGGATCATGATTAATTTTCCAGCAAGGCATTGATCCCAAGCTAGGTGCTCTTATAACTTTAGAGTTATTAGTAGTACCATAATTACGTATGTCAGGAAATGTGATGATAAGAATATCTCTCTCTCTTTCAATATTCTTGAGAGAATACTTTGAATGTACTAAACTTGATGCATACATTTATAATCGTTTGAGAACTATTGATGAGCAAATATAAAGGTGCCAAATTAATTTTTTGTAGTATCTGGTAGGACAACCTTTGGTATATTGTAGGGTTTGCAGATGCCTAAACTTAGTATTAATTATGTTTTCTAACAGATTAAACTTTCATATATTAAATAGGGTTCATATCATAACTTTGGTAGCCAGGGTAGCAGTTGCAGTCCATTCTGTAACTTTCAAGCTTTGGTGATTCTGGAGGTGTGGCTTGTTTACTTACAGAATGAAATGTACCCTCTGCAGAGTTGAAACAATCTGGAATGAATATAAGACTTGTTTTACCACCATACCAAATGAAGTTGCAAACTATGACTGAAATTTGTGAACAAAACTAGTTAAAAGTTCAAATCTAGAAGATGTGAATTGGTGAAAATTTGACTCGTCTAAGAAGACTGTAGGTTGCTAATATGTAAGGGGTTTGTCAATAAACATGTTGCACCAGTCAAAAGACACTCTTTGTTCACTGCAGTTACCAGTATGCCTGAGTCTATGGAAGAATACACAATGTATTTGCTTAAGGTTGTCATTTATGCAACTACTGCCAAGGTTCTTTGCTGGTTAGTATCTCAAAGCTTGTTCTGTGTGAGGTGTCTTCAGACAGTCTCCCAGAACAATGTTTTGCAATGGTAGGTGTCCCTAATTTCCCAATCCATGTATTTTATTGAAATCTGGAAAACATTGGTAATACAGTGTTTGTAAAGAGATCAGCTGTTGATCAACTTATTATAACATATTCTTCCTTGCTTTTACTCATACATTCTTAGAATTGCTAATGTAGTTTTCTTCTGTTGATGCTGTGATTGTTTGACCTGCTTCAGGAACAAGATGTCTAGCTTAGCCTAAAAATCTGGTTCTTAAATGACTTAAATAAACTTGATAATGATTACAATTAACTTACCTATTCTAGTAACACCATAACAGTCATTGTTCGTGAAAGTTGATGATATAAATAATGCCTAGACCACTACTATTTCTGTTGTATCCCAGCCAGCCTTATGAGCCCTGGTATTGGGCAAAAGGCCTCATTCGCACTGCATGTGGGAGACAGTGTGGTTGACATTTTATCACACATTATTTATTGCTTTCAGTCGTAAACTCTTAGGGTTATTCTACCATGGAAGAGTGGAGAAATATCATGTTTTCCACATGCCTTAGGCAATTCTCAGATAAGTAGATTGACACTGCTTACTCTTTCATCCTTTTTATATCAGTTGTTGACATAGGGTTTGGATATTCATGGATGTGTTCACATATATTTTATACTCTATAATATGATATTTGCACAATTATATAATATGTTCTACCAAAAGGGTTTGTTAACTAGGTCTTTTTAACCTTTGTTACTGGGAGTTAAGATTGTTTGGCTTGTAGGAGTAATTTCACTAGCCTGTTTACAGGATAGTAAAAACAGAATCAAATGTTTCAGTGTAATTGGTTTCAAACATTTTACTTTGTGAACAATTAAGAAAAAAAAAATGTGTTATAGCTCTTCGTATTGAATGAATCAAGTATTTTTGAACATGTAATATGACTTTTTTTTTGGTAAAATTATTATTGAAGTCTTGTTTTGTAATGTACAATTTATTATTTACTATATTCAATATGAATGAACTTCTTTTGTTCAGTTTAATATTACATTTTAATGTTGGTCACTATTACATGAATCTGTGTTATAGAAAAAAGAATTTTGATTTACTGTATGGGCTTAGATAGATTAGAAACAACTTGCTTTTCTTTGTGTATTAGTTAAATATGGTGTGTATGCCTAGTGGTTGATATATAAAGGATGCCTTAAGCAAATGATCGTTCAAATGAGAATAGTAAATAATTGTTCAAAAGTAGTTAAACTTTTTATCAGGCATTAATAAATTTACTGCTGGATTAATATTCACTGAGAATAGAGTGATATGCTGTTTGGAGTCACTTTTAATCCTTAAATATATAAACTAAACCGTATCAAATTATTATCTTGAAGCCCTCCAGTGGCACAGTCGTATGTCTGCACACTTACAATGCTGGAAACTGGGTTTTGATACCTATGGTGGGCAGAGAACAGATAGCTCATTGTGTAGCTTTATGCTTAACTACAAACAAACAAATCATTTTAGATTATCAGGACAACCTGCATTATTTACTGGATCTTGGATTTTATTAAGAAATAGACATTTTTATGAAATGATGTGTATTTCTATACATAAATATAAAAGTAGTGAATGCAAATTAAAGAATTAAGTGTATATTGTGAAAAAAAAGTAAACTTGTCATGAATAAATAATTGGTGTTTTGATCCACTTTTGTTTCCTTTTAAGTTATACCCATTGATTATTTTTTTTTCTTATCCCTGAACTACATATTTTGGTGGTTAAACCTACATAGCATAGATGGTAGTGACTGGTCAGGAATTGCATACCCAGATAGTGTGCAAATTATGGTGTTAACTACAAGTGGTTTTGATTTCTAACTTCTGTAAGACATATATTGAAAAATTTTAAACTTAGAAGGTAAATGAGAGAAGGAAATGTTTATCCAAAATTGGCCCAAGCTCCAGGTCACTCATAAAAGGAATTGTAACATTGAGGTGCAGCTGTGTGTCAGTTTTTTGAAAGAAAAATGTATGTGTTAGAATCAAGAATTACACTATTTATTTTTTTTTGTTTGGTGTTTACATGTTCTAAGTAAAGTAGGCCAATGCCTTGTTGGTCCAAAAGCTAAGGAATTTATATATGTATATGATAAGTTGGTGTTACAAAATGCTATTTTTTTACTTTCTTTAGACCATTATACTTCTTTTTCTGGATGTGTGAAATCAGTTAGGTAGTAGTTTATAAAGCCCAAATTGACAGTGGTTAATTTATAGAGCTTCATGCAAATTCATAGAAATCCTGTGCTAAGATACTTTCAGTTAACTATCTATAAGTGTAATCTATTTATAGGAATTTGTTACTTAGTAAACAAAATATTTGTTTGGGTAATTGAAAACTTTATATTGGTTGCAACATGAAAGCTATGTTTTCTTTGTTTGTAAAAAATTATAATTATTTTTGAGTGCTTGTTTAAATACTTGTGTCTCTGTATGTATGTACATATGTCTAATAAGGTGTAATTGTCACACTCTTCACAGACACAGAATTCCATTCTTTCATTGAGCACCCATCCATGGCACGAATCAAGGCTAGATCATTGTTTATTCATGTGGACGTTCCAGGACAGGGCCTTGATTCAACTGATCTCCCTTCTGAGTAAGAGTGCTGTGATTTATTACTAACGTTCATATACAAAATTCCTTTGTTATTCTTATTTCATCATTTGGTGAGTCGAATATGTATAGTGATGTTTTCTAAATAACGATATAGTATATAATATTATATATATTGAATCACAATTTAGAAAAACATCACTACATCTTTTGTATAACTATTGTTGTATCTTAGTAAACTTGTGTTCTGTTTGTTGCTTTAGTTGATTACATAACAGTTGAAGACAGAAAATAATTTTTTCATTAACTATATTTTTAAGAGTTTCTTATTGGAAATCTATTGCATACCTAAATTTGTTTGAGTAAATGGGTATTTCATTTTGTAGTTTTTTTAATGAAGGTATCAAGATTTTGTCTTTTATTTTGTGTTTCTTGGAATTATGATAATCACTAAACACTTGCTCCAGTTGAAGAAATACTATATAAAATAGTGGAAATGATATCCTTATGTTAACACATATTTTATTCAACACATTCAGTATAAGATATATTACTTTATCAGTATCCTCATTAAAGGAGCCAATGCTTTTTAGGGCTGTTTCCAGTTTAGTAGTGAAATGCTGAATTTTCATGTTATAAAGCTGGATTTGTGTATTGGATTATATTTTATAATAAGGTCTTTGTGTAATGCTTGTCAGCATTACTTGAGTTAGATAATAAATGTTATATAATACGCTACTAAAACTTCACTTTGTTTGTATCTTTGAAATGATGATTGTGTGTTTAAGTTAATGGTAAGTGTTTTTCAGCTCTGTTTAAGTCTTGTGAAATATATATTTCTTGTGTTCTACATATGCATAGTTTTGTTTTTCTCTGACCTTCATTTGATGCTCTCTTTAAATAACTTATGTAATCTTTTAACATAATACTACTCGTGAGCTGTATAATGCTCAAATCAGATTTTACATTATAGGCAATACAAGTAGAGTAACTAAAACAAGTTGGTTGGTTTACATGAAGGACTTGCAGTTGCAAGTTTAAAAACAATTATGCTAAATATCATTTTCTTGGTATTTTATATAATGTTAAAATAATAGATAAATAACACATAATGTCAAAATAGATACACAATTAAAATCTATGGCCTTTATAATGTTGACTCTATATGTTTTTATGTTTAACACATCATTAAGAGTGAACTTGCAAGACATAAGAAGGAGTAAATATGACAATTATGGCTTGCAAGTTCACTCCTGAGGATGACGTGGTAAACATCAAAATGTTTAGGCAGCATTTTAGAGGCCATGGATTGGCCTGAATTGAAAAATTTTTTAATTGTGTATCTATTTTAATGTTGTGTGTTATTTATTTGTTATTTTAACACTTATGCTAGTGATGCTGTAGGAAGGCACAAAGATAAGGGAAGAAAAGTGTCCAACTTACACATTTGGAAAGCTATAAAATCCTTCTCATGTTACTTCGGCAAGGATTATCTTTACTCTTAAATATAAATGACATTTTCACAGTCTTTGTTTCTTTATTAAGTGTGTATGCATATGGTTGTACATTTCTGTTAGTGTTTAAAAAAAGAATTTATTTATATAATTGACACTTGAAACTGTTGGTACTTGGTGAAACTCTGTAATTACAGAATTGTCTTGTTTTTCTGTAATTCTTTAATATGTTTTTATGAAAATAGCTTCGTAAATTAGAAGTAATGGACTTGTGAGAAAGCACTTATTATACCTTAATAGAAACTTCAGACTACTAGCATATTTAATCGAAATATTAGATGAAGAACACCTGCAATGTTTTTTATGTGATGTATTATCAAAACAAAAACACAAGATGTATTATAGCATCCATTATAGAAACAAATAAGTACACAAAGCATCTGAGGCTAAATTGCACAAATCATAAACAAGTACAGATGATACTTAAGGTTTATCTTAGGAATTTTCTATAAATGGAAAAAATTACTTGGTGATTTTTTTGGTCAAAATTCTAGTCTATGCAAAAGGAAAACATGTCACGTAATTCCCTAATCTATAGAAGATTATTGAAATGCCCAAAACAATACCTAAATCTACATTAAAAGATCTAAAAATCTATTTAATAATATAAAAGTATGTATAGACCATATCTATATATATGCATCTTTTAACTTACTATAAAAATATTAGATAGAAACTTACTCCACACAAGTTGGACGTTGCTAAAAAAATAAAAATTACAGCTGTGTATTGAACCTTGAAAAATATATGAGCTTCAGAAGAAAAATAGCACAGTGAAAGTTCTCCATATTACATTTTGTATGGGGTGAAAAGTATTATGGAAAGTTCATAGGGGAATTTGACACTAAAGTTCATGATGTAAAAGGAACTGTATATATGGCTAACAAAGATACCTTCTTCATAAAAGGTTTCAGCTATGATGGAGAAGGACCAGATGCTTTTTTCTGGGCTGGAAGTACAACTAGGCCTTTTGAGTATGGTTTCACTGTTCCAGATGAAAAAGAAAAAAAAAATGTTTTGGGGAGATACAGTAACAAAAACATCTGGATTAAGCTACTAAATGGTAAAACCATTAAGAATGTTAAATGGCTGAGTTTTTAGTGCAGAGAAGTTAAAGTAAACTTTGGCTCACTTCATATTCCAGATAATTTGGAACTTCCGTGTGCAAAAGTTATTGAACGACTCCAAACTTTTGCTCATGGAGTAAAGTCTGATCACATTGTGATAAAAGATGAAAAAACAATATATATACCTAAACTCTAGTATGATGGTAGTGGTCCAGATGTATATTTTCTTATGGATGAGGGAACCAAACCTCAGAGTGTGGGAGCTACAAAGGTACCAGATGAAGAAGGAAGTACAGGTGTCTTGCATGGTTACCAGGGGCAAGACATCACACTTACTCTGCCTGCTAAATTGACAGTTCATGACATTGATTGTTTGAGCCTTTACTGTATTCAATATCAAGAGAATTTTGACCATGTTGTCATCCCTGAAGACTTGAATGTGCCTGCTCAGAGAGGTTGATATTGTCATCTGAAGAAAAAAATATTTTAATAATTAAAATGTAATATGGGGCACTATCACCGTGTATTTTTCTTCTGAAGCTCATATATTTTTCAAGGTTCAATACACAGTTGTAATTTTTATTTTTTTAGCAATGTGCAACTTGTGTGGAGTAAGTTTATATCTAATATTTTTATAAATGATGCCTATATGGCTGAATAAATATTATAAAATTTTAACCTACTATATATTGATGTGTGAAACTATAAACAATTTACATATTTGTTTGCAGTACATAATATATGAATATATAATGATTTAATGAAACACTATATTGTTTTATAGTTTGTGAATCAATTTTACTTTTAATTTGCCACATCTCTGTTCAGTATTGTAGATCTTTGTGTTTTAATTATTATGAGTCAGTGGTACTTGAAAATTATTCAAACCATTGACCTGTATACAATATTTTGGAGATCCCATAGATGTGAATGGATACATTTTCAGGGCTGTACTTATTGTTGACCCCACCCTTTGAGATATAAATTTTATACCCCTCCTCAAAAATTAACTTATCTTTGCTTTGAAAGATGCAAACTCATGCAGCACTTGCAATACACTTGGTATGGCCCTGATTCTCTTCTTGGTATATGCTGGCATAATAAAACATGATACCATCTTTATCTGCTTTGGGAAATTAGATATTACTATCTCTAGAATTGTACATTTTAAAATGAAATGGTTATATTAGTGTGTTTTCACACAATGTAATTATAACATAACATATTATAACAGTATTCATTATTACCACATCCAAAGTTTTCTATAAGCTTTCAGAACTCACTACATATATACTTAAAACATGGTATACACTATGTGATGGTCAGAGTGACTTTGTAAAAAGAGGTAGTGGCCAAAGTAACAGCGGTAGGTGTTCTTTCTGTTATCCGCTTTCAACACTCGGCTCTTAATGTCCTTCCACACTGTTTTACATTATCAATTAATTGACAGTCATTGGCCACAGAAGTGTCTTACAGGATGAAGTTGTAAGGTCCTGGGTCAAAGTAGGAAGTAAGTATAATTCAAGAAATGGCTCTTCAAAATCAGCATTATGGGGGCTACTGGAGAAGAAACTTCAGCTGAATTTAAATATTATTACAACAGTGGTGGCCATTTTTTTCATTGCATTCTTCCATAGAGAGTGCTATGCACTCTCTGAGATATATAAGACAATTGTATGCTCTCCCCCCACAATTTGTGTATGTTGTGTTATAGAAAACGTAATAAGTTTTTTTTTGTTTGGTGTAAGGATGTGGTGCCATCTATAAATTTAGTTAATGTTAACTTATGTCAAAGATAACAAGTGTTCAGTAACAGCAATAATAAGGAGTTGTAACACCCCAATAACATGCCCCTTATTCCAAACTATCATCACACAGTTTGGTTGAGATTGACTTATCAACCTAGGAGTAGTTAGATAACAGACATACACACAGATTTTTGTGCTTTATATATAGATTGTACCCCCACCAGGTAAGAAATTTGTTTTGTTGACCCAATGGAAATGGTGGGGCAATGTTTGTGTCATTTACTGACAGCAGAAAGGGGGAAAATTGAAATGGCTGTTAGAGTTGTAAGTATGAGAAAATAAATACAGGAAAGGTTTTTAGAATCCTTAAGAGTTTTGTTGTGACCAGATGTTGGAAGGTTGGAAAATTTTGATTGCAGACAGACACTTAGATGCAAGATGCTTTATGATATAGGTTAATGAAATGTTGTCTTTTATTACAAAAATTTTGGTTTTGATATGATACTTTACCTTTTCTCACATAATAGCTTTCCTTGATTTGTGCTGTCCTCTATATGAGCAATTTTTGCTTGCTACTAACCTTGAGGTGCCCACTTAACTTTATGTAATTATATGTGGTATAGCTACATAGTAGCATGCAAATGAGCATGCAACAATTGTCAAGATATATAAGACTGTCAGTTTAGATATTATTGATTAATTTAGTTTTATGAG